CTAATTATATGCTACAAAATGTGCCATTTATTGTATATCACTACAGCTGTTAAGTGCTCAAAAACATCACAAAAGAGCAAGCATATTTAAAGACTCAAAGAGAATCTTAAAAGTAAAATACAATAATTGAAACAGAAAACTCTCTCATAAAGAGAACTCCAGGTCCAGAAGTTTACCTCTGTGAGTTCAACCAAACATTCTAGGGAGCAAATAATTTCTAATCTTACGTAAATATTCCAAAGTGTCAAAAAGTGAGAGGAGTTTCTACCAGCTTTACGAAGTTGGCATAATCATGACAAGAAAACTTGACAGAAACAGTGTAAGAAAAGAGAATATCAACCCTTCTCACTCACAGACCACATGTTCAAAAATCTTAAACAAAGCATTAGTGAATGGAGCGCAGCAATAAATGATATATAAATGATAAAGCATTTTGCCAAGGTTAATTCTAAGAAGTCAAGGCTGACTTAACATAAGGAAAATAAATCTTTTCATGTGGTTCACAATATGAACATAAAAGGACCTGATTAAGTTAGAAAAGCTCCCTTTTTGTCCTCTTGCTATTTCTTCTTCAGCTATTATAGGGGCACACAGCTGTAGCATCAACAGCTGTCTTAAACCGCAAAGTGACCTTGAGAAGAGAGCCATACTCAGTATTGCAAAACAGTGAGATAGGAACCTGAATCCTTGATGGCACCAAGGAGCCACATGCCAGCTTTGGACTATTTACCTTCTGACTTCTTCTATGTGAAAGACAAATAATATTGCATTTATTGTTAAAAAGTGACTGCCATGCTTTGAAAAAATTAAATTAGCAGAACTGAATTCTAATAGATCCTGACACCTCTAGCAGATTAATGGAGGTGAGGGGCATCAGGAAGCACATAATATTCAAGTTAGGACTTGAAGAATGAGTAAAATCTAACCAGATAGCAAGGATTAGAAAGGAAGAAGGCACTCTACATGCTATAACAGTAGTGTGGAAAGATGCGAAGTGTACAAAGTTGCCTTGTTCAAGATGAGTGTAACATGTATTTCTTGAACATTCTGTTTGGGACTTAGGCTTGGGCTGGGACTGGGCTGAACCAAACTAAAGGAGAGAAGGGTTACTTTGCAGCTTTATGCAAGCCAGCACCTCTGGGGGAAGGCAGTGACCTTTGGCAGAGCTGTGTAAGTAAACAGATATCAGCCAGGCAGGATGCAACTCAATGAGGGACAGTGAGTCCTTGTCTTGCAAAAAAAGGTGATTTGAGTTCAAGTCTTTGCCTTCATAGCTGAGAATGTGCTTCAGACAAAAGTGACCACATTGGTCCTTTTTGACAGGGGTTGTGCATAGGCAATCCTGTCTAAGTCCCTGCTCTACTGGAGTGAGTCCCCTACCCATGAAGTTCCTGAGAAAGAAAGGCTCTGCAGAGGAATGGAGAAGAAGACTATTCATCTTGTGTATCTAGTGATTCGGTTGCCTAACATTCTTTTCCTCAAAAATAAGGAATCTTTATAGGAGCTTAGATCCTAAGGCACCCAACTGTGCTATACCGAATGCATTTAGATTTTTCTGAGGCAGTCATAGTATATTTATTAATAATGACCCTTTTCACTCTCAAAAGTATACTGCTTTGGATAATAAATTTTATGGTCAGTGTCCTCACTCGTGTGGGGATTCTGAAAAGGAATAGTTAAATCTTTGCGAGTGTGTTTTCTTACTTGGAGAACAAACCAACTATAACCTCTCTGCTTCTCCCCAAAGATATTTGGGGATCAAAGAGAAACTTTTGGGGGCACATAGCATTGTTTTAAACAAAGACATTTAGGAGGGAGGAAAATCTATAGCATAATAAGACCAACATTAATTTGCAAAGAATTGGGTCAAAGTTGTAATGACAAGGAAGGATATGAAGTTCTCAGATGGGACTAGGCTGAGTGATCTTTGGAAGAACAGTACAATTTGCAACAGGAAGATGTGTGGTTGCCACTGGTAATTGAAGATAAAATCAGCCACAGGCCTCCCTGGTGAAGAGAGACTGAATTACAGATATAATAGCCCCTATTCTCTTTTCTTTCCAACCACCAAGAGGAAAAGTGCCCCAGTCCTTCCATCAGTGCTAAGGGGTGGGGACCTCTCCTCAAACTCTTCCACCAACATTGGATTAAGCTTAAGAAACTTGAATTTTCAAGACACAGACTAGATAGGAATTTAATGCCATTTTTTTCAGCTGGGGATATTGAAACTCAGAAGATAAGTAGATTTGTTTAAATTACAGAGTTTATAAATGGCAGTACTAGAGCTTGTGCTTAGGACAGTCCTCAGTGACAAAATATGATAGCTAAAGAGACTTTGAGTTCCCTAGAGAAAAACCTATGGCCTGAGGAAGGGCAAGAAGAACTGAGATTTTAGCTCTGTCATCAAATTCCTGATGGGATGACACATGAGAAGGAAGTCAGACTGATACAGATTGGACCAGAGAACACAGCAAGGGCCAATGAAGGGAAGATGAAAGGAAGCAGGTGCCAATTCAACATAAAGGGAAGGAAGCTAACATTTCCTGACTATCTATCTATGCCAGGCATTTTACATGTATATTCCTATTTAATTCTCAGAGGGAGAATAAAAAAAACTTGTGAAGTAGATTTTATCCTCATTTTAAAAATGAAAAACCAGGAGATTTCCAACTCAGGGTAATGGCAGACTAGCTTGTATTATACTAACTCTCCTACTGATACTAATTATAAACTATGGACAAAATAGAAAAAAATAATGGTTTGAAAGTAATGGAAAATTATCAAAATCAGACAGAAACTAGAGGGGATTTGACACTTGATAGAAGGGAACCACACTGGGTGAGAACTAATTTATCCTGCTTTTCATTTGAAGGCAGTCCCACTCTATGTGGTGTGGTGGAGGGCATTTCCAAGAGCGTTAATGCAGAAAGCTGTAGTGTTATTGAGTAATTAGGTAATGTATATTAGGTCTGCCAAGCTGGAAATTAAAGGGGGAAATCCAAGAAAAGAAGAAGCCACATGAGGGGAACCCTCAAATTTGCATCAAATCTCCTTGGCTGACACCTAAACCCTGACTGTGTGCACTGAGACTGCAAGAAGCCTGTGGGGAAAACAATAGCTGGAATGTTGAAGAAAAAATTCAAAAAAACACAACTGAGCAAGGGATTTAGTAGCTGCCCACCATGGAATCAGAGTTTAAAATTTAAACTCTACCAAATGAGAGAAACTTAGTACCTCAAGCTTTGTACTGAAATCCCAGAAGGGCCACACCCTGGGATTAAATGCTAATTCTAAGATTGAGGACTAAGGGGGGAAATCAAAATAGACTTGCCCTAACAAAGCTTAAAACCAACTCCTTAGAAAAGCAAGGGGATCTGGTGATAATCTACCTGCCTACTAGAACAGAACTCAATACTCATCAAAGAATGCAGAGTTCTCTATGTATAATAAAAAGTACTTTTAATTGCTAGATATGTGAAGAGATAGGAAAATATAACCCAATGAAGAGAAAAATCAGTTGATAAAAGAAGTGACAGGCAGGACATGGTGGCTCATGCCTGTAATCCTAGTACTCTGGGAGGCTCTGGCAGGAAGGAGATCCTTGAATGAACGCTTCAGATCAGGAGTTTAAGACCAGACTCAGCAAAGCAAGACCTCATTTCTATTATCAGGGCATGGTGGCATGTGCCTGTAGTTCCAGCTACTCAGGAGGCTGTGACAAGAGGATTGCTTGAGCCCAGGAGTTTGAGGTTGCTGTAAGCTAGGCTGAGGCCATGTCATTCTAGTTTGAGTGAGAGAGAGAAGGAGAGAGAGAGACTGTCTCAAAAAATAACAACAAAAACAAAACAAAACAAAAAACCTCCCAAAGTGACAAATGAAAGAGATATTGAAATTAGCAGAGTAGAACTGCTATGGTCTGAATGTTTGTGTTCTTCCAAAATTGATATATTAAAACCTAATTGCTGATATGATAATATTTAAAGATAGGGCCTTTGGAAGCTAATTAGATCATGAGAGCAGAACCCTCATTAATGGGATCAGTGTCATTATAAAAGACAATTCATAGACATAGCTAGCTCCTTCCACCATGTGAGGACAGAGCAAGAAGGTACTATCTATGAGGAAGCAGACCCTCACTAGACACTAAATATATTGGTGCCTTGATATTGGATTTCCCAGACTCCAAAACTGAAAAAGAAATTTCTGTTGTCTACAAACCACCCAATTTAATCTATGTTTCTTATAGCAGCCCAAATGGACTAACACAGAAATTTAAAAATAATTATGATAAATATAACAAATCTATAGGAAAAAGATTTAACATATGAAGAGTTGGAGAGTTTGAAGAGAAATATGAATACTATAAGAAAGTACCAAAAGGAAATTCTTGAACTAAAATATATATAACTGAAATGTAAAAAATTGGGAAGTATCATGTTAGATTGAATAAATAAGAAGGAAAAATAAGTGAATTGGAATATAGGTAAATAGAAATCATCCAAACAGAATCATGGAAAGGGAAAAAGATTAAAAAACAATTACAGAGCCTCAGTGATTTGTAAGACAGCATCAAGTGGCTGAGCAAATGAGCAAATGGAGTTCCAGAAGGAGAGGAACGAGAGAATATGTCAGAAAAAAATATTTGAAAAAAAGTAGTCAAATCTGATCAATAGAAGAAATCCACAGATCCAGAAAGCTCAGCATACCTTCAACAAGATGAATACAATGAAAGTCCCATGTAGGTACATCAAAGTTAAACTCCTAAAAAACACTGAATAAACAGAAAATTTAAAAGCATACAGATATAGCTGATTTCTCATCAGAAACAATTGAAGCCAGGAGACATCATTAAAATGCTAAAATAAAAAAACTCCCTGTAAGCCTAGAATCTTATGTCAAGTAAAAATACCTTATAAAAATGAAGATAAAATAAAAATATTCTTAGATAAATGTAAGGCAAGACAACATGTCACCAGGTGATGTAACTACAAGAAATTCTAGTGATCATTTAGGCAGTACACACACTAAGACTGGAACAATACAGAGAAGATTAATGTGGCTCCTACACAAGGATGACAGCCAAATTTGTGAAACATTTCATACTTTTAGGCCAGCATAGAATAAGAAGATATAGAAAAGTACCAAGTACAGAAAGAAAAGAAAAAAGAAAACCCTGCCAACCAAGAATAATGAACCTACCAAAGCTGTCCTTCAATAATGAAGGAGTAATAAGGACTTTCCCAGACAAACAAAAGCTGAGAGAATTTAACACCACTAGACCTGTCTTATAAGAAGTGCCAAAGGGAGTTCTTGAAGCTGAAAAAAAAAAAGGTAATTAGCAGCATGAAAGTATAAACCTCATCGATAAAAGTAAATACATAAAAATCAAAATAGTCTAATACTGTAATGGTAGTACATAAATAACATATACCCATAGTATGAAAGTTAAAAGACAAACCATTAAAAATAATAATAGCTAAAATAGGTTGTTTGGGGATGCACAATTTAAAAGATGTAAATTGTGACATCAAATATATAAAATGTGAGTGGTGTGGTTTTTTTATACAGTCAAAATTAAGTTAATATCAGCTTGTAACAGCCTATAATAACTATACGGTATTCTATGTAAGCCTTATGGGTAGCCACAAAGCAAAAACCTATAATATATACATAAAATATTAAAAAATAAGGAATCAAAGCATACTAGTACATAAAATCATCAAATCACAAAGAAAAACAAGACAAGAAGAAATAAAAAAAGACTACACAAGAACCAGAAAACAATTAACAAAGTAGTAGTAGTTAATTCCTTGCCTATCAATAATTACTTTGAATAAAATGGATTAAATTCTCTATTTAAAAGGTACAGAATGTCTGAATGTATTAAGAATAAAAGGACCCTGGATGGTGCCTGTGTCTCAGCGGGCAGGGCGCCAGCCCCATATGCCAAGTGTGGTGGGTTCGAACCTGACCCTGGCCAGCTAAAACAGCAGTGGAGACTGCAACAAAAATAGCCAGGTATTGTGGTGGGCACTTGTGACACCATGGCACTCTACCAAGGGTGACAGAGTAAGACTCTGTCTCACAAAAAATAAATAAATAAATAAATAAATAAAAAGAAAAGAAAAGAAAAAAAGGACCCACAAAAGGCTTCTCACAAAAGGCTTAATTTTACCTTACAGACACACATAGATTAAAAGTGAAGGGACTGGAAAAAAGAGATTTCATGCAAATGAAAACCCAAAGAGAGTGGAGGTAGCCATACTTCTATCAGATAAAATAGACCTAAAGTCATAAACTGAAAAAGAGACAAAAGCATAATGATAAAGGTTTCAAATAATTATATGTATGTATATATATTTGGATCCAACATCAGACACCCAAAATATACAAACCAAATATTAATAACCTGAAGGCGGGAAGGACTATATAGCAGTCACAGGGGACTTCAATACCTCATATTCAACAATGGACAGACAATCCATACAGAAAATCAATAAGAAAACTGGACTTTAACTACATTTTAGGGTTGGACCTAACAAACACATACAGAACATTCCATCCAACAGCAGAAAAATGGGCATCCTTCTTAAGTGCACATAAAACATTCTCCAGAAGAGACCATAATGTTAGGCCATAAAATTAGTCTTTATGAACTTAAGATGACTGAAATAATATTGTACCTTTTTCAATCACAGTGGTATAAAATCACATATTAATAATGGGAGGAATTTCATAAAATTCTCAAATATATGGAAATTAAGACATACTTCTGAGCAACCAATGGGTCAAAGAAGAAATTAAAGGGGAAATTAAAAAAATCTAGAAACAAATGAAAATGGAAACACAATATGCCTAAAGTTACGGGATACAGCAAAAGCATTTTAAAAGAGAAGTTTATAGCAATAAATGCCTACATCAAAAAAGAAGAAAGATCCCAAATAAATAACCTAACATTAAACCTGAAGGGAATGGAAATGAAAGAACAAAGTAAGCCCAAAGTTAGAAAGAAGGAAAATATGAAGATCAGAGTAGAAATAAATGAAATATAGACTAAAAGACAATAGAAAAGATCAATGAAACAAAGAGTTGACCTTTTGAAAAGGCAAACAAAATAGACAAACCTTTAGCTAGATAAGAAAAAAAGAGAAAAGACTCAAATTCAGAAATGAAAGAGGCAACATTACAATTGATCCCTCAGAAATACAAGATAAGAGATTACTCTGAACAACAATACATCAATAAGTTGAGTAACCTAGAAGAATTGGGTAGAGTCCTAGAAACCACAGTCTAGTAAGACTGGATAATGAAGAAATGGAAAATCTGAATATAGACAAATAATGAATAAGGAGATGAAATAAGTAGTAAAAAGTCTACCATCAAAGAAAAACCTAGGACCTGAAGAGTTTACTGCTGAATTATACCAAACATTTAAAAAAAGAAGAAAAACTCATCTTTTTAAAGCTCTTCCCAAAAAATTGAACAAGAGGGAACACATCAAACTCATATTATGAGGCCAGTATTACCCTGATATCAAAGACAGAACAGGCCATTATAAGAAAAGAAAATTATAGACTAATATGCCTGATGAACAGAGATACAAAAATCTTTAACAAAATACAAGCAAACTGAATTCAACAGCACATTAAAATAGATTCATCCCTGGGATGCAAAGATGCTTCATCATGTCCAAATCAATAAATATGATATACCTGCATTTGTCAGTCAACCCCTTGGCCATCGACTGGTACCAGTCCATGCCCTGTTAGGACTTGAGCCACACAGCAGGAGGCGACCAGGAGGTAAGTGAGTGAATGAAGCTTCATCTGTGTTTACAGCCACCCCCCCATTGCTGGCATCACTGTCTGAGCTCTGCCTCCTGTCAGATCACCACCATCCACCCTCTAACCCTGATCTGTGGAAAAACTGTCTCCATGGAAACAATCCTTCCTGCCAGAAAGTTTGGGGACTGCTGTGATATACCATATTAATAGAATGAAGGCCAAAAACCATATGATCATCTCAATAGATGCAGAAAAAGGATTTTAAAAAATTCAATATCCTTTCATGATAAAAACTCTCAACAAATTAGATATGTAGAGAATGTGCTACAACACTTATAGGTCATAAGGAATAAGCCAACAGCTAATATTATACTCAGTGGTGACAAGTTGAAAGATTTTCCTCCAAGATCAGGAAGAAGACAAAGAGACCCACTCTTACCACTTCTATCCAACAGGGTACTGGAAGCCCTAGCCAGAGCAGTTTAGTAAGGCAAAAAAATAAAAGACACCCAAATGGAAAGGAAGAAGTTAAATTGTCTCTGTTTACAGATGATGTGGTCTTACATATAGAAAACTCTAAAGACTCAAGCAAAAATCTATTAAAACTAATAAACAACTTCAGTAAAGTTGGAGGATACAAAATCAACATAAAAATAAATAGTATTTCTATACACTAACAGCAAACCATCCCAAAAAGAAATCCATAAAACAATCCCATTTACATAAACCTCAAAAAATGAATAAAATAAAATACTTAAAAATAAATTTAACCAAGAAAGTGAAAGATCTGTATGTTAAAAACTATAAAACATTGATAAAATTGAAGAACACAAATACATGGAAAGACATTCCATGTTCATGAACTGGAAGAATTAATATTGGTAAAATATTCATAATACTCAAGGTTATCTAGAGATTCAATGCAATCCCTATCAAAATTCTGATAACATTTTCCCACAGAAATAGAAAAAAAATCTCAAAATTCATATAGAACCACAAAAGACACCGAATAGCCACAGTAATCTTGAACAAAGTTGGAGGCATCATACTATCTGATTTTAAAATATACTACATAGTTACAGCAACCAAAGCAACATGTTACTGAAATAAAAACAGACATATAGACCAACCAATAGAACAGAACTGTATTTTGTTCCATAGCCCAGAAATAAGTCCATGAATTTATGGGCAATTGAATTTTGTCAGTGATGTCAAGAACACATACTGGGGGAAAAGACAGTCTTTTCAGTAAATGACCTTGGGAAAAGCAAATATTCAAATGGAAAAGAATGAAATTGAACTCGTATCTCACTTCATAGACAAAAAATTAACTCAAAATGGATGAAAAGCTTAAACATAACACCTGAAACTGTAAAACCACTAAAAAAGGGTTAGGGAGACATTCCATTACCTTGGTCTGGACAAAGATTTTTTTAGATATGACCTCCAAAATCACAAGCAACAAAAGCCAAAATAGACAAATGAGATTACGTTAAACTAAAAAATTCTATTCATGGAAAAGGAAACAATCAACAGAGTGAAGAGACAACCCACAGAATAGAGAAAATATTTGTAAAACATATGTCTGATAAGGGTTTAATATCAAAATAATATAAAGAACTTGCATAACTCAATAGCCAGAAAACAAAAACATGATTAAAAATGGACAAATGATCTAAATAGACATTTCTCAAAAGACAATTTATAAATCACCAACAGGTTTATTAAAAAATGCTGAACATCATTAGTCATCTGAGTAATGCAAATTAAACAACAATGAGATATCACTTCACACCTGTTAGAACGGCTATTGTCAAAAAGACAAAAGATGAATGTTGGCAAGGATATGGAGAAAAGGGAACCCTTTTACACCATTGGTGGGAATGTAAATTAGTACATTCATTATGGAAAACATTATGGAAATTCCTCAAAAAATTAAAAATAGACTACCATATGATCCAGTAATCCTACTACTGGGTATATATCCAAAGGATATAAAATCAGTATGTCTAAAAGATATATGCATTCCCATGTTCATTGCAGCACTATTTATAATAGCCAAGGCATAGAATAATCAGTGTCCATCAAGGGATAAATGAATAAATAAAATGAGTTATATGTACATAATGGAATACTATCTAGCCTTAAAAGGAAGAAAATTCTATCATTTCTGACATCATGAATGAACCTAGAGAATATTTATGTTAAATGAAATAAGCCAGGCACACAAAGACAAAGACAAATACCACATGATCTCACTTATATGTGGAATTTAAAAAAGATGAACTCATAGAAGTGGAATTAGAATGGTGGTTACCAGGGG